TAAGTATCAGCTACTATTCCTTTCAAATAATGTAAATAAATAAATGAACCTATAGTAAGGTGTAATATGAATGATGATTGAGCAAATTAAATTATGAAAATCATATATAAACTTATATAAATTAATACTAGACTAATTTATTTAGATCACTAATGGAATCACGTAAATTTTTATATTTTCGATGCGTCAAAACATCTTTATTTAATAAATTTCTATACTAAGAAAATAAGAGAAATAAAATAAATGCGGTAATTAAATTAAGAGTATACCCTTAAAGTTAAGAATTTTCTTTGTCTATAAATAATTTATTACTTAAATTGTTGTATTTTGTTTATATTTCGTAAAAAATCAAAATTCAATTGCTGAGATCGAAAAATTATAAAAATTATATTTAAAATTTTTATCTTTTCGAACAAAACTTACAAATTTGATTAAGATATCAATCATAGGAATTAATTTTTATTATATTTTCTTTATATTGGGTATAAAAATTTATAAAAGTAAACTAAACAATAATTGGAACCAATTATCTTATATAAACATTAAATTGAGAGTAAAATCTGATATTTTATTATTGTATTTTTACTGTCATTTAAAGACCTATTAAAGAAGAAAAATTATGCTTATTAAAAAATTTATATGACTAAAGAAATAAATATATTTAAAAATTATCAATATGACATTATTAATTAATTATTATTCTTAATTTGTCAAAAATATCAATTTTAATTAAAAATTTAAAATATTAAAATCTACGATATCATATATGTAATTGCATTTTAATATTATTATTGACTTATACATTTAATTTCCAGACTTATCCAAAAAATTTTAAAATTTGAAAAACAAAAATACTGTAGCTAGGCTAACCTATGTAATGCAACAAAGAAATTTATTGTCATGAAAATTCTTTATGAGACTCTTGATAAATTGCATACAATTGGGGGCAAACTTTGTTATACATGCATACATACTGTATTATGTACTTTTATTTAAGTATTTTTGATATTTCTAATATATAAACTAATAAAACAAATGTGTGCACAAGAAAGTACTTACTCTATCATAAATTTTAATAAAATGTATGATCTTCAGAATAATAAACAAAAATTATATATAGGCCATTCAGTAATCATTACATGCATATGTGTGTATGTGTACATGTACTATTACGATTATATTATATTATATGGATTATTAATTGCAGAAAATTTTGTATGTACAATCTGTACATTCATATCGTTTATGTCATTTTATATAAATTTTAAATATAGAAAACAAAAATATGACAATTTTTGTTAAAAACAAAAATACATACTTAAAATTTTTTTATTCATATCATCAAAAATTTTATATTCTTCAAATTCATAAGCCCTAACCAGCCTTAACCAGCGTTAACATACACAAAATAATGTATAGATTAACACATACATCCGCAAATTTGTTTGTTTGTCAGTTTTTTTATTTTTGAATACAGTTTAAAAGCAAATTATGTGTTCACTCTTATGTATATTGTAATATACGAGTATAAGGATTGCATATTTAAATTGATTAGTTTTTTATTTAAAAAGAATTGAAATGTAAAAATTTTATAAATTTTGTGGAACATTTCATGAATAGTTCTAAGTTGCAAGTTCAAAATGGCATTTAAATTTCCATTTGCGTTATAATATAATTATAAATTATTCTCTCAATAATTTGTAAGGAAGGCATCGGGTTTTACGAGTTTTGAAACGCACTGTTTATTAGTCGTGAGTCACCTAACTTATCGGAATTCCATTGTGTTTTGAGTAACGATATATTAATTTTGTACAGGAAAATAATATCGTGGACCTAATACAATAATTAATGTTGATAGCTCCCTATGAATTTAGTTTTATAAGTTTTGTTCCGAAATACATACTAATTGAAACAATAAAATTGCGGAATCACTGAATCCATTTGCTATAAAGTGTCATTTTACTTTCATAGACAACTGTTTATTTTCTATTAAAATTTTTATAATTTTCGTCACATAAAGCGTACAGCATATTTATAATTTTTAGGAAACTAACGAATATTTTAAATACATAAATAATTTAAACCATAAAGCAAAAAAATCTAAATTAAAAAAAGAAGAGAGAGAAAAACTTAAAAAAAGCAGTCAAATCAGTTTTGCAGATATCTGTGTAAATAATTGCTAAAAACAGAACAAAAAATTATTATAATAAAAAAAAACGATAGCATATAAACAATGATTTAGAGTTTTTTAAATTTTTTTTTTACTCTCATATGTTATAATATAATACATATACACATAAACATGTATAGATACAATGTAAGAAATATAAATAAAATCCTGAGCCAAAAAAAAAAGGATTATAAAAAATAAAAACCCATTTACACGTTCATCTCATATCCTTTAATGTTTTAAATTTAGATTTTATTATTCACCTGATTCCTTTATTTTGATATATGAGAGAGTAAGTACATATAAAATGTGTACGTACTCGCTTATACAGTAAATATAGAAACGTATAGAATAAATATATACAAAATTGTATGTGTAGGTTTTTAGACCGTAATATATTTTATTGAATATCTCATATTAAATTATATTGTATGCCAGTAAGTGTTTGTAGCACATATGATTCCTTACTTCTAAGAGCCTCTAAGATATTCGTATATATTAAATTCGAATTTTTACAAACTTTTAAATTTAATTTTTACACTTAAAATTTTCTTCTTTTTTTTTGTTGTTCTGTTTTTGCAAGTCATATATGATATACGCACATGAATGCCTATTCAATGCCTCTTTTCCTTAAATATTTTCGTCCTTTTGCACATTATATTGGCGTGCTCTAATTTATTTTTATTTTTTTCTGCTTTTTATGAGCAAACGAATTGCAAAAAAAGGATTTCAAATCATTTTTTTTTTCTTGCTTGCTTTTTTTCTTTTTTTCTTCATTATTTTTATCCTTGCATATAGTTAGCATTTTTATTTGTGTCAGTTAAACAAAATGTTTAAAATTTAACATTCTGTTCCGTCATCATATTGTGTATAAGAGAATGAATGCATATTATATAGTTTTAATATAAATATACTTTAATATATATATATATATTAAGTATATTATGTATAGTTATAAAATTACATAATGTATAACATGAATACATTCAACTTGCAAAAAGTTCATACTTCTAACACTATTCCTATGTAAATATTTGTGTACATAAGTATCTTTAAGTGAAATAAAACGACCCCATATCTGTTTAAAAAAAAAAAAAAACAAAAAAAGGGAAAATCTCAGAAAAAAAAAATTTAAAACAGGAAAATTTATAATTTCAAAGGATTAAGGTACATTACGATGAGTACATCATGAATACGAATTTATTTAATGATGATGATGGTACGAGTACAATGTTAACAGAAAATATCCTTTGATTTTGTAATTTGTTTTTTTTTTTTTGCATTAAAACTGAGAACAAAAAATGTTTTTGTTGGACCCAAGAGTGAATAAAATATTTAGTGAAAAGATTTCAAGTTTTTTTTTTTTGCTATCTCAAACAAAATAATTTATTAAAAGAGCTTTTAAAAATTACTGTGTTTGTATATATATTGCTAGTATGACAGTATAGTTGCATTATACTGTCCGATTACAAAATGTTATTACTAATAAGCATTTGCGGAAGTTATTTATATACCATCATATTTCTTATTATTGTCACACAATGCAGATAACATTTATAATTAATTGCATACGAAAATATATGTATATTCGAATGTATGAATAATATATGAACATATTAAAGTGTTGTTATAATTGAAGTTACCTAATTATTAATATACTTTAAGAATTCAAAGCATTCACTATGAACCTCAAGTTATTGTAGGGTTCATACATGCAACATAATGAATTTAAAATTAGGTGAAGAGTAAATATGCATGATTATTTTATATAATTTTAAATTATATGTGTATTTGATTGACTTTTGTACAGTTAAGCCTTGATTGGGGTGATTATATATACATTATATTGTCTTTTATATACATATTATTTTATATGTTTGTTTAGAAATAAAATCAATATAAATATTGATTCCGAAATTTCACTAGATTTAGTAGTCAAATTTTATGTTAATTTTAGTACTCATAAGTCTTGTAGGGATAGAGTTGAATATATATTCCATAATTTTGTTTATAACATATTCATAAATTAAAAAGATGATCTATTCCAAAATGGGATTTAAAATTACATACTAAAATCAAATATTTTTGCTATTAAAAATACACAAGAGTATTCAAAATTTCTATAATTTTAATACTAGCATGTAAGATATGCGAGTTGTTGGGACATTATATTGCAAATAAAAATCCTAAAAATATCTTAAACTATAAAAAAAAATATGAGGAATTTTTATTGCATAGTTTTACGGATTAATTATTGTGTAATAAGCCATAGCTTTAAGATTATAAAAAAAATCGCAGTTTTTAAATCGTTTTTACTTGGCCTCTTGAAAGGTTTTCAAAGTACATACATTGTATTTTCATCATGGAACCTATTTAAAATTTGTCATGAATTATCAAAGTCGGTTTTTGACATATTTGACATGTGACTTTATCATTATTGACAATTTATCTTAAGCAAAGTTCGATACTAAGGCAAAAAAGTTAAGGGAAAGAAATGGTTTTAAAAAATTAAATAGAAGAAATTTATGACTGAAAAATATAAAAATTAATTTATTTATGACTGAATTAAATACACTACTGTCTTGTAACACTATATTATGCATTCTAACAGTTTATTTAAAACATCTAAATTTGAGTTGAAAATCTTTTTCAGAATATGGCAATCAATTTTACTCTATCTTAGCCTTAATAATTAATTTAATAATTTTTTTTTGAAAAATTCTTCAAACTCGTATAGTAAAACTTTAAATTTAATTTTGTTATATGTATATTGTTATTGTTTAATTGCAAGTATACTTATTTGACTCGTTTTTTTTTTATTTATTTGCAGGTGAACAAAAACTTGAGCTAGCTCTTGTAAAAGCTGGTAAGACTTTCGTTTTATAAACATTCTTTTTTTTTTTTTTTGATATACAATTGTTGAAATTTGTAGGTACACATACTAAATCATAAAAGTTAATAAAAAAAAAAATATATTTGATTAGGACAAGAAATTTTACATTGATTTTTTTTTATGTTATTGTTGTAAAACTAAATTTTATGACAGTATACAATAGTTTAGGATTTTTTATGCTCTGATAATTTCATATGACTAACTATGACAGCTTTTATGTATATGTTTTTTTTTTTTGTTTGCTGTATAACAATAATAATTTTATCTATATGTTTTTACCATTATACCAATTTTTTGTTAAGAAAATAAAACTTAAATTTCATAAATATATTATCTGATATACAACAAATTTAATAATGAAGAAAAAGAAAAACAAAAATGTAATATAAATTTTGGACGACATGGAGCCTATTTTTTTTCTTCATACATAATAAAATCAAGTAAGGAAGTTGACTTCCTTGAATAAGGCAAAAAATATTGAGAGACCAGAAAATTATATAGAAACTTAATTTTTTTATATATTAAAAACTAGTTCTTGAACAATAAAAATCAAAAATAGTCCAAATTTGAAGTGAAATTTTAATTAAAATTTTATTTTTAAATATCCCTTTCTAATTATTATCAGCCATATAGGGCTTTTCTTGTATATTAATACAAAAAATAAGTTTTTTTTAAAATAAGTTAGGTCAATTAATTTAGATACTTTCATTACTTATACTAAATAACAATTCAGTATATCGGTATTTTGAAATCTTTAAATAAAATAAATTTCCCTTGTTAAAATTTTGATAGATTTTTCCATATGGCAATGTGATGTCGACCTAGCAAATAGAATCTCTCTTTAAAGAAACGATAGAACTAGTCTATTAATTTTACATACCAAAATAAAAATTAGCAAAATTTTAAAGCAAATTCATATTCGAAAAATCACCTACTTTGTTCATAAATTTTGTATTTTTTAAATTTTGTCATATTTTACAATTAGCACATCTATAACCAAATGAAAAACAAATTTTTATTATAATTGAGTTTCATCTATTTTACACATAAAATTGTAGTGCCGATATTATTTTACACTTTATATTGTAATTTTTCAATTTTTTCTTTTGTAGTTTTCTTTATAAAATTAAAATTACCGCGAAAATTATAAAACAAAAAGAAAAAAGTGCGCTATGACTCTTTGAATAAAATTTTATAGCTGAGAACAATGCTTTTTATTTTGTTCTATTTTTTTTTTTTGTAAAATTTATTTTCAAATTTTTTTAAAAATCAAGGACAAAATTCACTTACATATTATAAGAAGATTAAATAATGAAAAGAAGACAAACATGACTAAGTAAAATAAAAATAAAAAAAAATGTTTTAGTTTGCAATCCTTGTCTATTGACCATGACCTACTCTATACAAAATAATAATGCAGAAAGAATTTTAAAAATATATAGCTATATTATTTTTTTAATATATGTAGCTATTCTTAAAATTTCATTTTTTTCTCATGCATGATGAATTTTTTTCTAAAAATAATTTTATCTTATATTTTTTCTTTATTACAATCGGACACAAAAATTTTGATTCAAATCTATGACAATATTTAAATTTTAATAAACCTGTATAGCTACTTTCATTCGATACACATAAAAACTAATTTTATATTTTTCAATATTTTAAAAAAATTTTAAATTTTGTATTATTTTTTAAAAATATTTTTAAAAATTTGTCTAATACTCCACAATTTAGATAAATATTACCAATAAAATCCACGCGTGCAATATAACAAAAAAATTTTCTATGGTCAGAACATATTTTTTTTTCCTTTGTTCACTCCTAGGAGCAGCAAAGGGCTTGTGCATGATATCATGCACTAGTTTCATTGTTAACTAGTTAGGTGACTAGCCTGCTGTAGCTTTTTCTTTATATTATATATTATAAGTTTATTAATATTTACTGTTTATTTTTCTTAGTTTTCTTTTAATATCGAATATTATGAATATATGAAAATTACTTGTATAATATTTATAAGTATTGTATATTAAGATAAAAATATTGAATGTAGTTTTTTTTTATAGTAACCTGACCGGGGTTTGAACCCGAGACCCTTCGGTTAAAGGAACGGTGCTATAACCACTGCACTAATGGACTGATATATCCGACCCCTAGACCATATATTTGACCCCTATTTCTGAATGTTATACTAACTTAACTTTATATCTCTTAAAATTATATCTAAATTTCGATAAATCTTTTCTTATTGATTTAGAAAAAATATTTTACAAATTTGTAACAATTGTTTTTCATTATAACCATTTGCCTTAACTTCACATACTCTAAAAGTTGCTTAATTTGTCATGTCTCTAAAATAAGAATAGATATAAATATTTTTTGGTAATTTTATTATTGACATTAATCAGAGACGCAGAACTGTACAACCGAGAGGCCTGTAAACTATCTTTCTAAAAATTGTTTAAGTGCACACGTGTACGATACGAAATAATATGAATTTCTACAAAAAATTCAATATTTGAAATTCGAAGTTATAAAACAACGCCTCCCTAAAAATATGCAATACAATCAGTGAAAGTTATAAGTTTTTTTCTTTTTCTTAACTGAAAGAATTAAACAAGTAAAAACGTTTCAGTCGGTATAAACCGATTGAATTATACCCTGCACCTTTCGTTATTGTGTAGCAATTACTCGATTCTGTGAAGTCATTCTATAGACACTTCACGGATATGTCTGATCTATAATTGGACATCCGACTGCCAAGTTTCATGAATCTGACTTTATAATTTTTCCAAATATTTAAAATTAGCTTTTGGAGTTGTATGGCAAGTACCTGAACCTGTCAAATAATTCTATCAAAACTTCACAAATATATCTGATCTATAATCGGACACACAACTGCCAAGTTTCATGAATCTGACATTATTATTTTTCCAAAAATTCAGAATAAGCTTTTAGACTTGTATGGGACCTACTCGAACCTGTAAAGCAATTCCACCAAAACTTCAGAAATATACCTGATCTATAACTCGACATACAACTGCCAAGTTTCATGAATCTGACTTTATTATTTTTCTAAATATTTAAAATACGCTTTTGGAGTTGTTTGGCAAGTCCTCGAACCTGTTAAGCAATTCCTCTAAAACTTCACAAATATATCTGATCTATAATCGGACACACAACTGCCAAGTTTCATGGATCTGACTTTATTATTTTTCCAAATATTAAGAATAAGCTGTAAGACTAGTATGGGAGCTACTCGAACCTGTCAAACAATCCCATAAAAACTTTAGAAATATGTCTGACCTATAATTGGACACACGACTGCCAAGTTTCATGAATCTGACTTTATTATTTTTCCAAATATTTCAAATTAGCTTCTGGAGTTGTATGGCAGGTATCCGAACCTGTCAAGCAATTCCTCTAAAACTTCACAAATATATCTGATCTATAATCGGACATCCAACTGCCAAGTTTCATGAATCTGACTTTATTATTTTCCCAAATATTTAAAATTAGCTTCTGGAATTGTATGGCAGGTACCCGAACCTGTAAAGCAATTCCTCTAAAACTTCAGAAGTATATTTGACCTATAATTGGACACATGACTGCCAAGTTTCATGAATCTGACTTTATTATTTTGCCGAATATAAAAAATTTGCTGTTGAAGTTGTATGGCAGCCACCCGAACCGGTGCAGCTATCCCATTATAATTTTTAGAGCATGTGTAGAATATAATTGGACACATGTATACAAAATTTTATATTTATGGCTTTATTAGTTTTTGAAATATTTAAAATAAACTCTTTGAGTTGCATGACAGCTACCTGAACCCGTTGTCCGAATTAGTCCAATAACAATAGGGCTCGTCCTTGGCACAAAAGAAAAAACTTGTGAAAGTTTGGTGTCGATTTCATTATTCGTTTTTGAGTTATCGTGCGATCGGACGGACGGACGGACGGACGGACGGACGGACGGACAGACGGACATGTCTAAATCGACGCAGAATTTTACGCTGAGCAAGAATATATATATATGTCCATACCGCAGATGACTCCTTCAAGTAGTTACAAACTCCATACCAAAGTTAATATACCCTTCACGAAGTGCAGGGTATAAAAATTAAATGAATAATTTGTCGCATATTCCGAATTATCAATATGACATTTGTACTTTGTTGTATAAGATTCCGAAAATTGAAATTTCGAAAATTGAATTACAATGTTATTCACGTATAACACAATTATTTTGTGTTAATAAAAAATCAAAAATTTAATGAAACTTCAAAATTTTTTGTTATTCTCTTCTGAAAAAATTTTGACAATGGCAAGAAACTATAGGTAAAAACATGCTTAGTTATATGAGCGTGTTATTAAAATTGCATACTATATGTATTTAGGCATTGCTTTAAAAATTTTATAAGTATGTATATGGAAAAATAAATATTTGTATGCAATTATACCCAATATAGAAAGTCAAGGTCATAATTTTTTTTTTTTAATTTCTTCTTTTCTTCTGTTCTCATCAACATTGCACATATCCTGCTTTTATATAATAATAATCTACATTATTATGTATGTTCATAAATATATTATTTTGCATAAAAATAATTGCATGTTATACATATAGATGGCATTGAAAAATATATGATGTGAGCACCGCATAACCGATTTTAATGTGCAAGTTAGCGAATAATTTGCAATTAAATATAGATCCGAAAATGTAAATTTGATTCGTAATAGTAAGAACTTTGACATACTATGTCTGATTTCCCTGGATTTCGGTTAATTTCTTTGATAAATCGAACTACAATATTGAATTTCATGAAATTCTGTTAATTAATTTCCTAGATACACCAAAAGATATGAAATTTTACCATTGTAAAAGTCCGGCTTCCGAACATTTATATATTGCTGACTCTTTTACAATTAATTTAGCAATCACAATATTAAAATATTGAATTGCGAGAAAAT